CATTCCTGTCGTTCGTCGGAGCCCCCGAGGGAGCGCAACTAATTGCCTGGTGAGCCGATTGTAGAAATAGTAATCTGCTGGATTACGTTTTACCACCAATAAGTCCTCGAACGACGTTCTTATAAGGGTTTCAGAGTCCAGCCAAGGCAAAGAATCCACACAAGTTTCGCCATCGAAATCGAGAATAATGTTATTCCTGGTTTGTGGAAAGATAATTCATGGAATTTTTCATGGAATTTCTCCGCCAGTTCTTCGGCGATCAAACAGAAACTTGTAGAGTAGCTGCGGAAATTTGTGGCGGTGCGCCAAGTTGCAGATGACTTGCGGTCGGGAAATCAGAGAGAAGCGACGCTTGCAGACGGTGCTATATCCGACAACGGATCGAAAATCGGGGAGACCGATAAATATTTTGAGCAGCAAATCGTCGGTGAATATTCCGTTAATTTTTCTTTCTTTTACTAATTTTCTCGCATCTCCACCGTGATCACGAATATATTATGATCGACGTTGACGGCTCTCTCTGTGAGGGGTAAGGGCTTATAAAAGCTCTCGTCATGCATCAGTTTACACACACATATATATGATCAACCCTAAACTCCAAAGTCAAATTCTTATATAGTTTTTCACTAAAAAATAAATAAATAAATAAAGAAGCATAGTTTATACACGCCTTTGAAACACCGATTAATTACCATTGTTAACTAGAAAATGAGGACAAATTCCGTACAGAGATGTTAATTTTTCTATTGTTGTTTGGCTCAATGTTAATTTTTTCTAGTGTTCTTTGGTTTAAAGAAACTTTAATGGTTCGAGGCGTTTTAACATTTAATTGAAAAAAAGAAAATCTCTTACCAAACATATAAAATAAAAACATAAGTAAAATTTTAAAGAAATTCTAGTGGTTCGAGGCGTTTTAACATTTAATTGAAAAGCAGAAAATCTCTTACTAAACTTATAAAATAAAACATTAAGTAAAATTTTAAAATGCACAAATTAAGAGAAATCAGACCCTATTTATATCAAACTTATATAATAAAATATATGTAAAATTTTAGAATGCACAAATTAAGAGAAGTCAGACCCCATTTATAATTATAACTCATTTTCAATCCATGTGGGACTCTTAAATAAATACAAACTAAGCCAAAATTTTATAAGTGCATCAACGTAATGTTGTCTTCTTAATTAGATAGCCTACATTAGATCTGAATTTCAAACTGATTAAAACGATTTTGAAGGAACTACAAAAGCTTAATCAAAGGAAATAAAAAAAATAAAAAAAATAGGAGCTACTTACCTAAGAACTCTCCGTAATGAAACTGCTGGGGGAGAGAGAGACGTGAAGAAAGAGATATAACATATAAACAAGATCCGATCACTTTTGACTCTATATAGGTATTGATACTGTTAATATCAGTTTTATTCAAAATGATATCTTTACAACTTCGCAATCAGTATTGGTTTCATATTCATCGCAATTTAATGCAGAAAAACGAATATAAATCACTAATGCAAGATTAGAGGGAATTTTCCAAGGACATTAGTCGAACATCATAACCATTAAATTATTTTTTCCGGTCTACATTCCATCCTCGTGCTTTCTTTTGGCAATATCGTGTTGAATTTTCTTTGAAAGATTTTCTTTTCCATTGTTAGGATTCCGTATGCTATTAGCAATATCATGGCCAACAACTTTGCAGTTATTAAAGAAGAAAGTTGCTCATTCAATCCGCTGATGATCAAAATCTTACGAGTAAATCAAAGATACCTATTTATAAGTACATATTAGAATAACTTTTAAAACCATACCCATATAATATTTCCATTAAAACACGTGCAATATGGTTGAAATCTCACTCTAGGGTTATACTTTAGTCCCGTTTGTTTTACTTGTTTAGCTCATTTCAACTCAGATTGAACAATAATTACAGTTGAAATTCGCATTTGATAAGCACGCACTTTAAATTATATTCTCCGTTTGAACTGAGTTAAACTGTTCAACTTAAAGTTTAGCTTCCTCTTAAGTTCAACCGTTCAAACCATTTTTAACGGTAAAAAGGTGTTCATTCTCTTGCTTTTCACACCTACTAAACACAAATTTAAATTTTATTTTTTATTCAAATTAAAATTTTAGCTGCACATCAAATGCTAATTCGAACTACAATTTAAACTATACAGTTTGAATTTTTCTGTTTAAACGAAAAAGTTCAAATCAATAAAAATTTAAATCAACGAACTAAATGAGAACTCCAATGCAACTTGCAATTTGAATGGGTTTGAATTGAAAATTCAATCCGAATGCCTCCAATTAATGTTGCACCAAACACTAATTTGGACCTTGAGCTTCATTTGAATTGGAATTTATAATCCAGGATTGTTGAACCAAACAAGAAATAAGTTGCCAAAATTCCTAACTCGAGTCATACTCTTTAATTCAAACTTGAGCATTAATAATGCGTTGTTTACCTGGATTGAAGTTGGAAGTCCAATCTTGGAACCTGAAAAAGACCAGACTTAATTAAAGTTAGGGTTCGTTTAGTAGGAGGATTCAAACCAATGTGATTCTAATCATGATTCTGGAACCGGAATCATAATTTATGATTTTGGGTTTAAATCATGATTCTGAAACTATAATTAAGAATCAAGGGTTTGAATCACCTTAAATCAAGATGGAGTGATTTTAGAATCATGATTTGAGTTAGTTTAAAACATCACATCAGATTCTAAATCATGATTTTGAATCATCCAAATCAAACACTGATTCTGAATCATAATTCAAAATCACTGTAAATAAATACTAATTCTGAATCAGGATCCAGAATCATGATTCTGGATCCATATACCAAGCGCATCCTTAATTGTTGCAGGAACAAATACTAATAAAAACCTTTTTCCAATGAAATAATATGCCAATCATATAAAACTTTTCATAATTCAGAAAATTCTTCCCCAAATCAAATAGCTAATGATTGTTCATCTTGATGAGATAAATTCTTCCGATTAGAATTCATTAGCCTAACAATCTTTCCTAATAAACAGAATCTTCATTGATTTTTATAGAAATAAACTAACTAAGAGTTTTTTCAGTAGTTACAGAAAAATGAATCGTCTATACTTTTTTATTTTTAACTGTTAGATCTATATTAAAAATTAAATATTTTGTATTTTTTTTTAACTTGATGTGATTTTACTTAAATTTAATATTCAAAAACTAACTACCGATAAAATCTATACTTGAAAAACCCCTTAATAAAAACTCAATTATTTTAGAGAAGAAACCAAAAATAAAACACAAGGGAAAAGAAAATCAATGATAACAAGAGTCTTGAAAAACGACAAAGGAAGCGATATAGACTAATATGAACCGTTGAGACAACATCCAGTAGAACGAGTTCCCGGGAAAAACACCCAAATTTCAACCCCACCGCTACAACCGTCGGGCCCACCATCCCTCGCTTTTCTTTCTCTCTCCAATTCTCAGCCATCCCCCCTCTCTCCTCTCTCTCTAGAGCTTTCGCGCTCTATTCACTTCCAATCTCTTCTGCAACTGAAAAAACTCCTCCAAATGATCTCCAGAACCCGATTTTCATCTTAATTAAACTCCTTAATATGAGCTTAAACGCTAATTACACTCTTAATCCCAATCTCAAACCCCAGGAATTCTCTCCCTTCTTCCCCAAAATCCCCTTCCAAGTCCGCGAATTCCGAGTCTACCGTCGCCGGCGACTCAAACGTTGCCGGCGACAGGCTCTCCGGTGCCAGTTCAACCCCTTCGCGGATTTGTTCGGCAATCTAATCTCCCAATTCCCGTCCGCGAGCTCTCTGGAACTGATCGCGCCGGCGCTGGGGCTCGTCTCCGGGCTCGCCCTCACCGCCTCGCGATTCGGCTCCGGCGGGGCTTCGTCAGAGGTGTCCGACATCGGGGAGTGGATTCTCTTCACCAGTCCGACACCGTTCAACCGGTTCGTGCTGCTCCGGTGCCCGTCGATCTCGTTCGAAGGGGGAGAGCTGCTGGAGAACGTGAACGAGAAGCTCGTGAAGGAGGACCGGCACTATGTGAGGCTCGACAGCGGTCGGGTTTTGGTGAGAGGCGGCCGCGGCGGCGAGGGGTCGGTTGGGGGTTTGGAGAGGAAATTGGAGTACCAGAGAGTTTGCGTGAGCACCGACGATGGAGGAGTGATTTCGTTGGATTGGCCGTCGAATTTGGACCTCACGGAGGAGCATGGACTGGACACGACCTTGTTGATTGTCCCCGGATGGGCTCAAGGAAGCTCGGACGTCAACATACGGTCGTTTGTTTGTGACGCTTTGAAGCGGGGATGCTTTCCGGTCGTGATGAATCCCAGGGGCTGTGCCGATTCGCCTCTCACAACTGCGCGGTAAGTTGCCGCTTAGTTAATAGTTCCTATGTTTTATGTTAGTTTGAATGATTTGAATTGGTTAGTTTTTCGTTGGAAATTTATTTAAGTACTTAATTGTGTTGAATTTATGACTTACTGTAACTTAGAAATAAGAATGAGAATTATGTAGTGTTAGTATGGTTTAGGAGCAGGACTCCAAGTTTTCCATTGTTACAACGCATCGTCTATTGGGGCCATTTTCAATGATGGTCCACCTTCAAATAGCTTAAACTGTCCGCGCATTTGTTTATATTGTGATATTATGAGTAGAAAATTTTGATTATGCTTGCGATATTTGTGTGAGAATTGGTATTTGGTGTTCTTGTTCTTGAATATGCTGAACATTACAGGTGTTAGAAAATGAGGTTGGGGTAGGGTTGCACTGACCAGCGGCATTTCAATTGTTTCTATCTTTAAAAATATATATGTATTTTCTCGAAATGTTTTCTTGGGGACTCCTTTCCTAGAGTAGGTATATCAATTCAGGGGTCTTTGAGATTTTATTTTGGGGAAAGGTATCTGATAGTAGGACTTCTTAAACAATATTATGTGTTGTAGGTTATTTACAGCTGCTGACAGCGATGATATCTGCACAGCTATACAGTTCATCAATAAGGCTAGACCGTGGACTACGTTGATGGGGGTTGGCTGGGGTTATGGCGCAAACATGTTAACAAAGTACCTGGCAGAAGTTGGAGAGGGGACACCGCTCACTGCAGCGGCATGTATAGACAACCCGTTTGACTTAGAGGAGGCCACAAGGTCCTTTCCTCATCACATGGCTACTGATCATAAACTCACCGATGGGCTAGTAGATATTCTGAGGTCTAACAAGGTGGATGCTTCTTGTAGCCTCAAACGCCGATGGCTTAATGTTGTATATTTCCTATTATGTCAACAAATATGCACAACTTTTTCTTTTGGCGCTAGTAACTTCTCTGACTGCTTGATACTGTAGGAACTATTTCGAGGCAGAGCTAAAGGGTTTGACGTTGAAAAGGCTCTATCTGCAAAATCTGTTCGTGATTTTGAAAAAGCAATCTCTATGGTTTCTTATGGTTTTGAAGCCATTGAAGATTTTTATTCAAAATCTAGTACAAGAAATTTGATTGGGAACGTGAAGATTCCTGTTCTTTTTATACAGGTACATTTCTTTCCTTTCTATACGACTTGCTCCCTTGAAAATTTTAATACATAACGTTTTTCCTTCTTTTTTTTTTTTTTTTTTTTTTTGTAAATACCTACCAGGACATGCCTTTTTTTGTTTCTTTTTTCTTTTATTTAGTTACTATTAACAGAACTGCCATTACCCTCTCCAACCCAAGAGATAGACTTACTGTTTTCCAACATGTTGATTATCAGAATGATGATGGTTCAGCGCCTCTCTTTTCAATTCCACGCAGTTCTGTTGCTGAAAATCCATTTACCAGCCTGCTATTGTGTTCTTGTTTGCCGTCCAGTGGCATTTATGGTGGTAGGTCTGCTATGACTTGGTGTCAGCAACTTACAATTGAGGTAACGAAATTTATTCTTCATATTTTACATCAGATGACTTTTACTGTTACTTTTGAATTCTTAATCCACCTCGTATCCAAACCAAGCTATAGTATTCTTGCCATATTATGCATAAAGTTAAGGAGGTTTTCTGAACATGAACATATGTTTTTACGGTAATAATGCTTGTAAACAATTGCATAAGAATATTACAAGGAAATTGAAACGATTTAAAGCATTTGAAAGTATAGCATAAATGAAAGGATTTAGAGCCCTTGAAATTATAGAATACAATGTGTTACTATGATTTCTAGTCTAGGGTCATACGTTGGATCGTGAATAGATCTAAAGTCATTTCTGCATCTACTCCGAATTTTCTTGGTTTTGACCAACATTCTTTTTTTCCAAGTGCATAAAATCTACCCTGAATTGAAATGCTTGTTCAGCATTCAGCAGGGAGAGGAAAAAAAAGAAAAAGGAAAAAAGAAAACAAGTAAGAGCAGGAACCTTTCCAAGATAAGGGCTGGCATTGTTGGTGCTTTCATATAGCCACATACGATTTCCTTTGTTGTGGATTGAATCTATTTTTTCTTCACACTATTTTTTCTCCAGTTGTATAAGCATTTGATATATCTTCTTTTTCTCCCTTTCAATAAGGGTGGATATACTTGTTTTTTGAGAATTCAATATTCTTACATGGTTATCTGTTTTTCTCTTTAAGGTTGTTATTGAAGGGGGATCCTAGATTATTATTGTTATTATTATTTTTTTTTTCCTTTGGGATGGGGGTTGGGAGATGGACAATTAATAGCTTCAACCCAGTTCCTTGATGAACATGCTTGTATCATATCAGTGGCTGACAGCTGTGGAGCTTGGACTTCTTAAGGGACGACATCCTCTTCTCAAAGACGTGGATATCACCATCAATCCTTCAAAAGGCTTAGCTTTTATGGAAGGCAAACAATCCAGAAAAAATGGCAAAGTTACCAAGCTATTGGATTTTACTCCTTCGAATTCTTTAAACAGATATACCAAAGATACCATAAATAACGTGCTTGAAGAAAGTGACACTACTGCAAGCTTGATCTTAAGATCCAGAAAGGATTTACAGAGAAAGTATGAAGTTGAAGACAAAGGATTGGGAAAAATTGAAAATGGTGCATTGGAGCAGACTAACTCTATTGATACAGAATTGGTTCAACAGGAGGAAGTCAGTCCAATAGAAAGTGAAAGTGGTGAAGTGCTGCAGACAGCACAAGTGGTTATGAATATGCTTGATGTAACAATGCCTGGTACTCTAACAGAAGAAAAGAAGAAGAAGGTATGCACCACTTGCTAGAGCAAACAAGTTTCTATATATAATTTTGTTGCCACTTCTCTTTATGTGTTTCCATGGCTGCTAGACTCTATTATCAAACAAATTATAGAATTTTTCTTGCCATCTCATAATCTCATGCATCCCAGAAAAATTACCTAAGTGTGAAATTAGCAATATATTCACAGTAGTCTTCGCCTAATTGCGTTAATATAAACTCAGGTAGTATCTATTCTATGTACGTAGGTCTTAACTACTGTTGGTCAAGGAGAGACATTGATGAAAGCTTTGGAAGATGCGGTACCAGAAGATGTCCGGGAGAAGCTTACGACTGCTGTGTCTGGAATTTTGCGTGCTCAAGGCCCACAAATGAAAATAAATGAACTCCTGGATATTTCTCGAATTCCAAATGTGTCAACAGGATTGAAGTCTAAGCTGGAAGAAAAATTTAGGGGAACATCAAACACAGAAGGTGGATTGCAGGACCAGCATTCTTCAGAGCAGATGAAAAAGACTGACAATCTGTCAGATAGCTCCACTAATAATCAACCAGGCGTGCAGAAGCCTTCTGGGGGAATGGATTCAGAGCATCTTCAGATGGAGAACTCTCAAAAGTCTGCCAATTTAGGCCAATCTCAATCAACGAGCAGTGATGAAAACAATAATTCTGGTTTTGTCAGGACGGAAGCTAGTGATTCGGGAACTGATGTCAATTATGATGATTCTTCAAAAGGAAAAGGTGTTGTGAATTCTGAAAAAGTCGAGAAAGGATCAGAAACAGGAGCTAAGGCTAACAGTTCCAGCAGTGCTGAGAAGGCAAGCAATGCAGAAGAAGCAAATGTTGAAGAACACAAGGACCAAAATGAAAAAACAGCTTTGTCAGACACAAAAGAGGAGCACAGTGCCAAAAATGAAGAGAAATCAGTACCTGATCAAAATAAGACAACAGCTGTATCATCATCGGGCGTGATTGGTGAAAACACGTCACCTTCAGGATCCTCTTCCGAGGCCCAGTCAACAGAGAAGGAAGATAGTGATGATAACAAGAACATGCAGCCGGTTCTGGATCAATCCAAGTCTAGTTCAGACTCTTCCACGTTCAGTGTTTCTCAGGCCTTGGGTGCCCTGACAGGGATGGATGATTCTACTCAAGTGGCAGTTAACAGTGTTTTTGGTGTGATAGAGAATATGATATCCCAATTAGAGGAGAGTTCAGAACATGAAGATGAAGATAAAGATGAGAAAAATAATTCTAGATCCGTATCTGTATCAATGAATGTAAAACCAATTGACGGTCAAAGGCAAGAAAAGTCAGAAGCCACTCTGCATGAAAAAAGTGTAAAGCCCGATGGCTTAAGTGATTCTTCTGTTTTAAAACACTGTGGGAATAGTATGGACTCGCGGCAGGATGAATCAAATGGACGCATTGAAAAGGAATCCACTCAAAGCCCAATTTCTTCTCACGGGAATGGTATGAAAAGTCGGGAAAGGGATACAGCTACTCGTGTAGTTGAGCAGGAAAATAGAAAGAATGATCAATTAGGTGGTAGCAATCATCCTGATGATAGTTTAGACAGAATAAAGAAAGAAAATAGCATTCCAACGTACATAACTTCAAATAATGAGTACTTACCCAAGTATCTATTCTCAGAGATTCCAACAGAATCACTAGATTCAGATGCAACCAATGCACTGCTGCTCGAGTATTTTCCAGAAGAAGGTCAGTGGAAGCTTCTAGAGCAACCAGGAAATAATGGAAGTACTGTTGATGATGCTCAGAAAAAAGTTCATACTCGTTCACCTGCAGAGGAAGATGACGGAGACGATGTTATTGAGCCTCTGTATGTTATATTAGATACAGAACAGCAACAGGAACCAATTGAAGAGTTTGAGACACTGAGCCACGAACAGGAAAAGGTTGCAATTGATGACAATATACCAGAAGAGCTGATGCAGTTTGTGAGAGAGATTATATTAGTTGCCTTGAAGGTTGAAGTCGGTCGCAAGCTAAGCACGGCTGGCATGAATGAAATTGAACCCAAACTTGTTGGAGAATTGGTACAGGTGGCAAATGCAGTGTCATTGTCTGTTGGACACGATGTGAAGCATGCTCTGATTTCTGATGCTAAATGCCATGATATCGATGATATTTTGGACAAAGTGGATACGCTTAATGGGGAGCATATTATCAGGGTCATATCTTCTGCTGTTCAGGAGACTACTTACTTGAGAAGGGTATTACCCGTTGGTGTTATTGTAGGATCTAGCTTAGCTGCTTTGAGAAAAGTTTTCAACGTATCTACAGTGCATGACGATGGTGATCTGAATTTTGCTGAAGACAAAAAATTGCGAGAAAATGATTACAGTAAGATTAAAGTTTCCAAGACTCACCAAATGCCTTCTGAAAAAATTGATCAGAATAACAGGATGGATGATTTAGTCAGCAAGAAGGGTGGGAAAACTGAACTATATAATAAAAAAAATGCTACTGTCATGGTTGGTGCTGTTACCGCTGCTTTGGGGGCATCCGCTTTACTAGTGCAACACCGGGTAATGGTTAACCTGTTAGAAATTCAAGTTTTCTTCCCATAGTCTCCTTTACCTTACCGTGTCGAGTTCTAGTCATATCCGGTTGTTTTTTATGCAGAATTTATTTTCATTGTCTTGTCAATTGCTTCAACTCTTTATCTAGATCTAGCATCATCTTCTTTGCGTTTTATTTTATTTGGGCCCTTCCAGCATTACTATTTATTTTAGTTTCCTTATCTCTTTCTTCAGTACCTTTCCATTTTGATTTTCCTTTATCTCCTTTCTCTGCCTCTGTGTTTCTCTTGCGTATTATTCACAGAGCATTGAATTGACCTGAAAGATATAGTTGCCTTTACATGAATCTCTCCTTAAGTGGACTGGAGTCTGTTGTCACTATTATGTCATTATTCTTTTTTTAAAATATGGGTTCAGATAAGCTGATCCTTTTCCTGTATTTTTGGCACTTGCTTGATCTTATATACGAACACAAAGGATTCATACAAATCCAATGAAGCTGTTGAAAGTTCATCAAAGTCCCCAAACATGAAAGCCGATACTCGAAAGGAGGCTGAAAAACTTGACGAGGCAGCGTCTGAAAAGAATCACAATAACATTGTAACAAGTCTTGCTGAGAAAGCCATGTCAGTTGCTAGTCCAGTTGTACCTACAAAGGAAGATGGTGGCGTCGATCAAGAAAGGTCTTACTATACCTAACCCATCTCTGTCTGAGATATGTGAAGTTATATGCCCTTTCTCTATTTTCCTAATTAATGGATGCCCATCGCTTTGAACAGGCTGGTTGCAATGTTGGCAGATTTGGGACAGAGAGGTGGCATGCTGAGGTTGGTTGGAAAAGTTGCTTTGCTATGGGGTGGTATACGTGGTGCAATGAGTTTGACAGACAGGCTTATCTCATTTCTTCGCTTAGCTGAACGTTCCTTGATCCAAAGGTAAACTGTAAGCCGTTTATTTAACTGATTCGAGTTTTGTTACAGTAAAAAACTCTCATAAACAATTATATTTAATTTTTTTATTACAGTAAAAAATTCTCACATAAAGTCACATCTCAACTCTAATCAACGAACTAAACGAGCCCATGTTGAGGGTTGCAGCAATTTCTTTTCAGAACCGTCCACACTGTCCAATATTGTTAAAGAACATTGAGCAAATTTTTCAATGTGACTACACTCTATTAATTCGCTCCTCTATCTGGGTTTCTGTCACAGGGTTCTTGGGTTTGTTAGTATGGTGCTTGTTTTATGGTCACCAGTTGCTGTTCCGCTGCTTCCAACACTAGTCCAAAGCTGGACTACGCGTACCCCCTCTAGATTTGCTGAGCTTGTATGCATTATTGGTCTGTACACTGCTGTTATGATACTTGTTATGTTATGGGGAAAACGAATACGTGGGTTTGAAAATCCACTTGAGCAGTACGGGCTGGATTTGGCATCATTGCCAAAGGTATGAATATATAAAAATAAATATCAAGTGGCCACAACTCTTTTTCTGCAACACGTTAGCTTGCTATAAGGGCAACTTGATTTCTTTTTACTGGCTTTATTAGAGAGGTTTTTTGGCTCATTATTTTAATTTTTTTTTTTTCCTTTTCATTAGGCGTCATTAAATTAGGTATAAATCTGCCCATTTATCATTTCTTTGTTTGACGTCCTTTAATGTAAGGTCTGATAATATACATACCTTATCTGGCCTTCTTGGCTCAAACACAGTCACCGTTGTGCTTGCAGATTCAGAATTTCTTGAAGGGCTTGGTTGGAGGAGTAATGCTTGTAGTATCAATACAAGCTGTGAACGTACTGCTTGGCTGCGTAAATATTTCTTGGCCTTATACTCCATCTTCCGTAGATGCCATGACATGGCTGAAATGGTATGGTCGAATGCTTGTGGTGGTTGCTCAAGGAATTGTAACGGCATCTGGTGTTGCCCTTGTAGAGGAATTGCTTTTCAGGTCATGGTTGCCTGAAGAGATTGCCGCTGATCTTGGACACCATCGAGGAATGATAATATCAGGCCTGATATTTTCTTTATTTGAGAGGTATGTTTTTTTTTTTTTTCCCTTTTCTTTTCTTCTCTCTGAATGTGTATTCTGCGAACTATAACGGCTTCCTACGTGATGTTGCCATGATTTGCTACTCATTACCATCGTGTTCAATTCCAAATGTATTTCAGGTCTCTATGGGCAATTCCCGGGCTATGGCTTCTCTCTTTGAGTTTGTCAGGTGTTCGGCAAAGAACCGAAGGCAGCCTCTCTCTTCCCATCGGGTTACGTGCAGGAATAATGGCTTCAAGTTTCATCTTGCAGAAGGGTGGTGTTCTGACCTACAAGCCCAACTTTCCTATTTGGGTCACCGGGACTCATTCATTCCAACCGTTCAGTGGGATAGCAGGTTTTGCATTTTCCTTGTTGTTGGCACTATTTTTATATCCAAGACAACCCATACAAACGAAGAATTTGAAGTGCGAAAATGGGGAATAAATATTTCAACCATCTGTTGACGCACACTATATGCGTTGTGTTCGTGAATGGCGGGATTCGTATAAATTGCGTCGTTAGCTTCACTGGTTATGTTTATCTTTGGTAACTTTCACCATGAAAGTAGTAAAATACTGTACAAAATACGGACGGATGAAGAGCAAAGCCGACAAACAAATACAAGCAGAAGTACAAAGGTTACTCGGTGCCTGCATGTGAGCTGTTGGACCGAGTGCTACAATCTCACCAAGGCAATGAAAATGATCACACTGTATAGTTGGCAAGAATCTTATCTTAAATGTCTTAAAAGAGGCAAAAATTTTGTAAGTAGGACACCGATGGGGTACCATTTTACCCCTGTTTAGTTTTGTTTTTTTCCCTTCCTTTTTTGCCTTGGTGTACATCTCTTTCACCTTTTTGCGTTCTGTCTGTCTTTTACTAGCTGGTGAAAAGATGTGTATAGTATAATGGAAGAACATTTATTGATAGTGCAGATTGTTTGGTTACGTGGTGAAATGGTAATGAGAATGATAATAAAAATAAAATTAGAATGTATTAGAATTATAAATTGATTCTTTAACTTGGTTGGAGTTATAAAATTAATACCTAAATGAGAATTATATTGCTTGGTTTATAATAGAATAAAATAAAAGTAAAATGTATTTTGAAAAAAATATCCTTGATTAATAATCATAAATAATTCAATATTTAATAAATTAAAATAATAAAAAAGTAATTTAATTATTGAAAAAAACTTTTTATTTAAAGGATAATTTAAAAATTATATTTCAATGGTAAAAAAATTATTTGATTTTTTATGTAATAATAAATTATTAGAGGTTTAAATATGATCACTTTTGACATCTGTCATGATATGTATCGAGTAAAATGATCACTTTGACCTTTGTCAATAATAAAAATGAACCAATATATCATTTAATTACATATATAATTCTAAAATATAGTCATACACTAAAACTAGTAGATTCACCTATATCATCATCTGTCAAGTCAAGTAAATTTCTAGTTAATATAATTTAACAAAGTAAAGCATAATCCTAATTAGTTACAATATCAAAAGAGAAATGCATAGCACGTAAATTACAATCTCAAAAGATAATCCGACTATATTTTTCTATTAAAACTAAACAACCACTCCTAAATACCACCAATAATAAAAGTTCTAACTCACTCATCTCTTTCATCATCAGGGATACTAAAAAAATATGAAACTAAAGCATTATCTTTTATCATCATCTGAGCTAACTTATAGCGTTCTATTGTATTAATGATTGTGGTCCTTTGCAACTCTTCTCTAATTTAACTATATTTTTCTATCATGTTTTCACCGATAATCCGACTTAAACGTTTACTTACTTTTTTAACAACACCAGTAAGTAAACTAAATGATTTTTCAATGATTTCATAAGCCTCTAGTATTATTTGTACTCTTTCTTTTTTTAGACTACTTTTGAGATTGAGATTAAGAACTTGTTTGGTTGAAAAATTTGTACCTCAATTTAAATCATGATTCGTGATTTATTATAATATTTTTTCTCATAAAAATACACATAAATTAAAAATAATTTTAATTTTATAATTCTAATCTATGAAGTTTTAAATTTAAGAAACAGCCGTGTTTCATTACTTGGGCATGAGTCACGTTGCGCCAAAACCTATGGCTAATATTTAACCTTTGTCGGCATTCACTCTGAAAAGTAAGGGGACTATATTTATAGCAGGAAAGGTCACGTTGCGCCAAAACCTATAGCTAATATTTAACCTTTGTCGGCATTCACCCTGAAAAGTAAGGGGACTATATTTATAGCAGGAAAGGCTATTTTGTTCCGTCAATAAGAATTATGTTTTAATGGTTGAATTATTTTTATAATAGCCTGTTCTAAGATATGAGTAGTTTTGCATTACGTATTGTAAATTTATAATACAAATATATACAAATTTAATCATTAAAAAATTATTAATAGCGTAAAAATATATCCTATCATAAAAGTTCACGACAAAAAAAGAGGGAAGGAGAATGATGGCATTGGAGGTTGAAATGGACATAATAAAGGCAAAGCAAAGTTGAGATTCAATTGAATGAATGGGCTAAACACCCGAATTCAAACATTTGCAAACCCGGAATTGGAAAGTTACAAAAGTGCAAGATGCAAAAAGCACCTCAAAAAGAAAGAAGCGAAACAAAACAAAAAAAAAAAAAAAAAAAAAGGAAAAAAAAAACCTTGATGTAAAAACCCGGAATTGGAAAGTTACAAAAGTGCAAGATGCAAAAAGCACCTCAAAAAGAAAGAAGCGAAACAAAAAAAAAAAAAAAAAAAAAAAAAAGGAAAAATAAAGCCTTGATGTAATCACAATCGCCAAAACAATGGAGAAATTATTCCTCAAGCTGTAGAACTCCCCACTTGAGCGAATCAAACTAAACTTGCTTCCGCCTCTTATTTACTCTTCAGCCTTCACTCACTCGTCCACAGCAAGAGGAACAGACTCCGCCTAAAATAGTGTCCCATGACAAAAGAAAACCACATCAGAAAAATCAGAAAAACACGTATCTGAAATAAACATAGGAAAAGTTTCAACTCTTTTCGACTAAAACCACTCTTAGATGTAACATGTAGAAATAGAGAGTGTAATTATTCTGGGTGACAATAACTTTGTTAATATACAAAATAAATGTCACGTAACACCACCTATTTCTACATATAATACACAATCGGTCCTTCACAAAGTCAAAATTAGGCAATCATTTTTTGGCCATCTTTTTTAATAAATAACAGAACTCTTTATTTTTTAGACAAATGTTCTAACTTTTTCGGTGATAAACCATATTCAGTCAATGATTAACCAGTTTATCGTTAATTTACCAATGGCCTTATCACCGATTAACCACTAATTTGTTATTGAAATTGACTTGAAATTACTATTTGATATTGATTAATCAGTGATAAATATTTTACTCCCTATAACATTATATTGTATGTGTGTGTGTGTAAATATTTCACTATTCCCTTTATGCAAGAAATACTTGGATAGAGAGAACTTACCAACTTGCGGTACTTGAGAGCATAAAACATCTCAATGTAACGACGGCTCTCAAGGCGATCAAGGTTAGAGACGTGCTTCCAGAAGCCATAAACTCCAGTCAAGGTCAACAGCCTCTCTGAGTAAATCTGCCAAGTATACCTGTTGAACCAAAACACAAAAAACCAAATTAACCAACAAAACTTCCAAAAAAAGAAAAAAGAAAAAGTAAAACCACCAAACTATTTTTTGCCACTTACTTGTCATAAATACGCTGCAACCCTGCTTGAGAAATCTTGTCCCAGAGAGAAGGGTCAGCCTTGCTCTTCTCAAAAAAGTCAACGAGAAGCTCAGCCGCACGATCACCATGATAAGGATCAATGTGGTATCCTGATTTCCCATGGACGATGATCTCAGCAGGACCACCATTGCAAGTAGCAAAAGTTGGCAATCCACAAGTCATGGCCTCAACGACTGTAAGGCCAAAAGCTTCATAAACGGCGGGCTGCACGAAAGCGCCTCTTGTGTCGCAAATGTAGCGGTAGAGCTCGCCGTTCCTCACCCGGTTCATCTGTGAGGAAATCCACCTGAACTGCCCGTTCAGCTTGTACGTCTCTATCAAGCCGTACATCTTCGCCATCTCCGCCTTCTCCTCAATGTCCTTCGACTCCTTCCTCCGGTCTCCCGCCACCACCACGAGGTTGACCAGCTCCCTCAGCTTCGCGCTCTTGCCGTACCACTCGACCAGTCCCGAGATGTTCTTCACACGATCCAGCCTTGCCATGGTGAAGATTATTGGCTTGTTCCGGTCCTTCAACACGCATCTGTTTGTTTGGTATCAAATGACGAATGTTACTTGGCAATAAAGCAATTAGTCACAAGAAAAAATATTATATATATATATATATATATATCAATGGAGATTTAAATAACAAAAACCTGCCCTGTACTTTATCGAAATGCTGTATTGTACACCTTATGTTTTCAGAAATACTGCACCTATCTGTTATGTTTTACAAACTTCTAAAAGATTGAACATGATTTGTAAAATATAAAGAATAGTTTTAAATGATTTGTTAAATATAGATATAAGTGCACCATTTCTATAAACACAGATCGGAACGCGACATTTCAATTAAAAAAAGATTCGTCACCTTTTCTTATAATTGCATGTTGTTTAAAGTGTATTAGTGATGGGGTTGTGATGGAATGTGACTTTAAAGCATGTACCAAAATTTTGTTGGGACATCACGTCTTCTTCTTCTTCTTTTTTTTTTTTTTTCCCCAGCGCGTGGTAGGAAAACTTACATGTGTTCTTCGTTCTCGACGTCACTGAAAAGAAGCTCTTCGAGCTCGGCGTGGAAGGATGTCAGCCTCTTCTCCTTCTCGGTGTAAGGGAAGTAGATGCTCATGTCGGCTCCGGGGGAGACGATGTTGAACTTGGGGTCGAAGACATCGATACCATGGACAACTCTGTAGAGTCCAGGAAGAGTGAAAGCAGTGTGGCTTTCATACTGTCCAACAGTGTCCTTGCTGAAACACATTTTGAAGAAAGAAAAAAGGTTAGTTTTTGTATAGATAAACAATGCACAATTCAGATATATATATATATATATATATATGTTGTCTTGTCACCTTCCAGCAATCTCTTGGAAGGTACTGGTGATAATGAAATCAGTGTGGTTCATGGCAATAAGATCAGCAGTGAACTGGCAAGAGAAGTGGTACTTCTCCTCAAGCTTCTTCCAGTAAATATCAGAATCCGGGTATTTTGTTTTCTCAAGTGCATGGGCTATGGTACACTGCACAAGATAGTAATTAAGTTAAAATTATTGAAAAGAAAAATGTGAGATCTAAATGAGATAAGAATTGTAACATCTAGTCATGTACAAACCTGAGTAACACCCAATTTGTGGGCTAAAAGAGAGGCAACAATGTTTCCATCACTGTAGTTTCCAATGATCAGATCAGGCTTGCCCTGCAACTCCTTGGCAAGCTCATGTGCAACATCCTGAAATAAAAAGCCAAGTTTTTCTTAGTGTCAAATAGTGCACATTAAAGGCTTATAAGAACTGAACTTACTAAATGTAAAGAGCATGTTTGTCTCGTGAGATTGAACCAAAGTTCAAACCTTTTTACTACAATGTTTTCACGGTTTGAACCAAATAATGTTCACCACAACTTTACCTCAGTGTAAGTCTCTAGGTAAGGCCAGACTTCGAATCTAGAGATCCATTTGCGGACAATTCCTTTCTCATCCCTAAACGGAACACGAAGGATGTGCGTGTGTTCTGTGCCGAACACCTTCTCAAGACGCTGGCCACATGTGGTTCCTACTGCATCAGGGAGGAGCCTAGTGATCTGGTAAAAAACACAACACCAGAATCAACAACATATCAGATTTGAGATAACACACATTAACAAAATCAAACAGATTTTTTCACAAGACTTGCTAGGGAAAACTTACAATGAGGATGCGAGGGACGATGTCAAGTCCTTGTTGCTTAATCCTATGAAGCATCTCGTTCTCCAAGGCGCGAACTTGATCCAAGATGTAAACAACCTAATGTTTGAATAAATGAAACACCAAGATTTAGATTTAGTAAAAATCATATTCCCAAAAGATCTAAAAATGTTGTGAAAAATTCTATATTCTTTTGTTTAACCAACCTGGCCACCAGTGTCAGGGTAACCCAAAACATTGTCTTGGGCAAAGTATCCATGAGGAGAGAGGATGACAACGTTAAAGACCATGGGGATTCTGCCAAGGAACGTCTCAAGAGTGCAAGGATCAGGGGCCTCAAGAAGGTCCAAGAGAAGCTGGATCATTTCGAGCACGCGCACGGCGGTGTCTCCCCAACCTCTCTCCAACCCGATCTCCTGGAACTTGTGCTCGAATTCTGAGTATGGTGTCTCTGGTGCAAGAGTGATCAGGTAGTCCTCAGCCTTCCTCAGAACATGTTGAAGGGAGTTGAGGTTCTGAATTCTATCATTCAGCATCATACTCTGCAGAATAACTTATAAGTACTAAATAATATGCTTGATTTCACCATAATTACCTAAATAATTTTGGATAATTCCTTTTGATCTTTTTTTTTTTATTTAATAAAATTCTCATAAGAATCAACCAATATACTTGTGGTGTAAAAGTAGAAATCAATTCTCAACATAGTTAAATGTATTTGAACAAAACTTACAACTTTATGACTAAAAATTGCATTCTAACACGAGAACTACTAAATAGATTTGAGCCATGCTTACCTTTCCTTCGTAGCAGTGAACCTGGAGAAACTCAAGCAGAGGATGCATGCTCTCCTTGTCATGGAAGAGCTTAGCAGAAAGGTGACGGTTGAGGAATTCGACACCATTTCCAATGGATTTCGAGAGAGTCGGGCGAGGGAAAGAGGCAGCGAATGGCTCAAAGTCCAACTCAAGCACAAAGTTCCCATTGAGACTGCAAAAATTGAGAGATCACAACATAACTAACCATTAAACCCAGAGACATCTCCCACCAAATCTCAAAGATCAACAAGATTTTCACCCAAAAAAAAAAAAAAAAGTCGGTTTACCTTCCATCAACAAGTTCTTCCTTGAAGTGCAAGTACTCAGCAACCCGCAACTCCTCAATAACAAGAGCATGGACGTTGACTCTAATGTACTCCCACACTCCCGGCCTCGGCCGAACAGCAAGAGCCACCCATGGAGGCAAAACTATGGCTTCCTAAATTACACAACCCCAGCAAAATGTATAAGAAAAACATAAATCAAAGAGAAAATAAAAGGTCAATGAGATCCAAGTTAGTTAGTTTACCTGAGTGGATCTGAGGACTTCACCAAATGCACCATCCAAAAGCTTCTGCCTGTTGGCTTCAGGGATGGCTTCAAACTCAGCAGTAAGCTGGTGGGGTTGAAGAAAACCTTTTCCTTTGGCCTCAATTCTTCAACACAATTACACAAAAAAAAAAAAAAAAAAAAAACACCCCAAAAGTTTGTCAGATATGGAGAGACATCCATTTCAAGTAAAGACTAAAGAAAGAAATTGTCTCATGAGCACAAACTAGTCCATGAAACCACCATGTTTGAGCCTTTTTTGTAACCATAAAGATCAGAGACATATATGTGTATACACCATAGACGTGTATGTGTATATAGATATATACCTGGAAAGAAAGGCCAAAATTTCATTGCGGTGAGCAGAGAGAGTCTCATCCAGCCTCTCACGGAGGCTGTGGACACGGGTCAGAACACGCTCAGCCATGGCTTAGTTAAGATATAGAAATTCAGGCAACCTTAAAACTGCAAAAACAAACACACAAGCATAAATTGTCTGTAAACTGTCGGTTATGTCAGATCTAAGGCAATCCAAAGACTAATTTATAAGCAAGAAAAGAAAATTAATGATAATCAATAATAATAATCAATCAAACCTTAAAGTCAATAGTTTTACGTAAATGGGTTTTAATATTCTAGAAGTGGCTATCAGATTTTTCTTTGTTAACATTACACAAAATAAAACCTACCACTCCCACCAACCCCCATTATACAAATATTAATTAGAGTTTATGGTTCAACCATGGTTTCTGTCCTAAAAATAGCTTCTAGTGTAGAGGAACTAGAAAATATGATTATGGAACTATTAAGCATAACCAATGATTTTATGTTGTTAAATAATTAGATCACTTGTGGAAGACAGATCAAAAGGTTTTTAGGCAATGATTAACAAATCTGCTTAGAGAATTATTCCTTTTTTATTTTTTATTTTTTGTTCATTAAAAATGTGACAAAAGGCTTCAGCAAATAATGCAGTACCATTAACTGGTTATGCTCATATAAAGAAAAAATAATATATTAAATGCTCCATTTATGGAAGAGTTGGCAGAAAAAAGAGCAGTTGTTTGACTGGAGAGAATATACGTTTTAAAAGATTATTTCTTCTTCTTCTTCTCTCCAATAGATGAAGAAGAGAAATAAATCAACAAAGATGAAAAACACAGACACCCTTTTTCTTTTTTCTTCCTCATTTTTCTTGGACCAGTCAAAAACAGAACAGAGAATTCAACAAAAGACGGCAAGTTCATGGATGAACTTGAGATCTGTTCTGGAAACCTGGGTTGACAAAGAGAAACATGGTTTTTCAATATTTTGACAAGAAACCGAGATTTAGAACGTGATCATCTTGGTCATGACTCATGACTTAAGAAGAGTCAACCATGAAAACCGGATAAACTTGAACTTAGAACTAGAAGAAAAAAAGAAAAAAGAAAATAAGAACAGAAAGAAGAAAGTGAAGGAAAAGAATAAAAGAAACATACATAATAATAGTACCTAACAGGAAACAGAGTTAATGGAATGAATACGGAGAGGTGGTTTGCTAGGCTGGTTTCTGCGTATATTTATAGATGGAAAGCGCGAAACTACAAGGATGAGAATGGTAAGAAAATTCCAAAAGGGTACAACTCTGTAAATAACTGTTTTCTTTTTCTTCTTTTCTTATCCAACTCATATTGCCGTACTTTTTGTTTTTAGTAATTGACACCAAATGTCTTTAAACTTGTTAAGAGGTGCCAGTTTGATCTTTAAATTTTTTTTTTTTTGATGAAATGAGTCTCAAATTATTTAAAAGAGTGTAATATTGTTATTTTTGTTAAATACCGTCTAAAAATATGAATTAAATCCTAATCTATTAAAATCAATTGGGATTAAAAAATACCTTATAAAAAAGTAAATGACTATAATGTCACTCTTTTAAATTATTATGCCGCTATTTTTTGGACGTCGTCTGACATAAACGACTACATTGCACCATTTTAAATAGTTTGGGATTCGTTTCGTTAAAAAAAAATTTAAAGACCAAACTGTCACTTTTTAAAGAGTTTAAAGATCATTCTTGCAATTTACTTTTTTTTATATATAAAACACTGGATCGAACTCGTAATCTCTTTCAAATTCTATTCCACCTAAATTTCATGGTGTCACTAGACTAGACGGTGTTATACAGAAGAGTATTGTTGTTAGGTAACGCGGATAATGTATCACATGTATAACAGTATAAAAACATTACAATGGTGATTCTTAATTTAATAAAATAATATCACTCACTTCTCAACAAATATTTTACCAGTATAGGGCAATCTAGTAAATACATGTTACAAATGGAACACAACATTGACTTAGTTTAGTATGGCTGTAGATTTTAAAAAAATTACTTTTAGTTGTAGTAGTGCTGATTATAAAATTAATGTAATAACGTTTGATAAATTATGAGTTTAAATTACTCTAAATAGTTAAAAATTACGACTATATTATATTATACTATAATATAATATATAATTACTATATAACGTATATTTATTATTATATTTAATATAATATAATAAAACAATTATTAAATAACATATTATATAATAATGATATAGAATATAGTAATATAATTAAAATGGTTAATATAATTACAATATTATAAAATATATTACAACATTACATAAGAAATAATAATATTTTAGTTATAATATAATTAATATATTATATAATCATAATGGTGTATTACACTATAATGGATAATAATATTAAAATTATAAGATTATATATATATATTTAATTATATTATTATTAATATAATAAATATAATTATATTAATATAATATATAATATTATTATAAAATAATAATAATATCATATTATAATTATATTATAATTATAACATCATTTCATATGATAAAATAATAATATTAGAGTTATTAATATAATTATGATATTATTTTTTACAATATTACTATTACATTACATTATATTATATTATATTACGAGTCTGAATTTTAGATTGAGAAAAATGTAAATTTTAATTTTTATTAAGGGTATTATGAGTATTATGAAAATTTCATTAATTATACTATGTTGATTCTAGCGCAATCTAATAGTTAAAGTTATTTTTATTACTGATTTTGACTGTAAATTTTTAAAAAATACTTCAAACTGTACTTTTAAGAAGATTTACTAAATATTAAAATTAGTGTTTACTACCTACAGAAGCTGATTTTAAGAGTGAAAAGTAATACTAAATGCAGCAATTCTAAATCTTGAAGTTGAAAAGAGGAAAGAGAAAAAAAAATAAAAAACTTGAAACTCAAGAAACCAATATATCGTAGAAATTAGATTTCATGAGAGGGGTTGGAGGAGAAAAACGGAAAGTGGATATTTTTTTGCTGGGATGGAAAGTGGAAAGGAAATTACCCTTTGGTTTGGACTTTAGAGGTTAAAGTGGGGTCGGGACTTTCTAGGGAGAGGAATTGGTGGGACCCTGTTCTAACCCCTTTTTATTTATTTTTTTTTTTAATTTTTTGTGTTTGGTTGATTGGGGTCCGTTGGTGCTTGTGATGATCACAAACTAGACTTTTCTTGGTGGTACAGCTTAAATCCTATCTATACTCTAGTTTCCCTTTTGGGATTTAATGTAACCTTATCCTATTCAACAAACACAAAAGAATATATATATATATAATTCTATCTTTGGTGTCTACAGCATTTTTGTACTATACTATACTATATACATTAGTTGGTATTTTTTGCACCATGCCACAAAGTGACACTGCCTAAGGATCAAAATATTATGTATATTTTGGACTGATCATGGTTGAAAGAAGAAATTAGGCCCTTGTAGAATATGCTTATTGATGCATACTTAATTAAATTATTACTATTATTTATAATAATAATTATTATTAATTTATTATTACCGCTAAGAGGAAGATTCCTCTTCGTCATTAACAGACATAGAATACGAAGTTTTAAACTTTATAACAATGCAAATACATTGAACAAAACAAGCATATAATACTACCAAATAGAAAAAAAAAAAAAATTTGTATTTTTCTCTTCATCTTTTTTTTTTTTTTATGGGGGAGAGAAAATGTGTATACCTTAGAAAGCCAGGAGATATTGCCAACTCCAATATTCTTGAGAAGAAAGGAAAGAAGGAAGGGAAAATGAGGGGAAGGGAAAAATGAAGGGAAAAACTCCAATGGGGCAAAATAACGCAAGAAAGGAAATAATGGAAGGAACAATGAAGAAATGAGGATGAGAAGAGCAAAGCCCAAACACCCTTTTTATATGGAAACTCGAGCATGGAAAATGAAAGCAGAGCTTCTGGTTTTTGAGAATACAAAAAATTAAAATAAAAAACCATTATCACTGCCACCCCACCTTCCTGTGGTTTCATTGTTGCTTTCACTAAACCGCCTTTTTAATATTTTTCCTAATCCACATACTTTCTTTAATCCCAATTTTACAATAGTTTTTCTATTCACAATATTATTATTATATTTCTCCTGCTAATTCTCCTCTCTGTTTTCTCTTATTCTCTTTGACATCATTTATTTTGTTGATTCGAGTTTTAAATTTAAATTTTTTTACAGTAAAAATTTTTTATAAATAATCACATTTAACTTTTTTATTACAGTAAAAAACTCTCAAATTAAAAACGCAAATGAATAAGCTAAATGGACATTTTTTCTTCTCCCCTTCCATTCACTTGTGATTATTTAAATCGTTTTTTTTTCCTTTTTTTTGTTAAACAGTCGTGCTTCTGGTTTTCTCTCCATTGGCTCGTCTTGTCTTTGACTTAACGACCTTTTGTTCCTTTATTTTATTTTATTTTATTATTATTTTCCTCCACTTCCTTGCTATATATAGAATTATCAAACGGTTTTTGACGCGCCACTTTTTCCAACTTCTAAACCTGTTAGCGGCTGCCACGTCACAGTAACCGGGGACATTTCTGTCAGAGCACATGAGTTTTTTTGTTTTTTTGTTTTTTTTTAGAATTTAGAATGATGATAATAATTATATTTTATTTTATTTAGTTAATAGCACATGAGTCATTCGAACTCACAATTATTATTTACGATCTCCCTTATTTTATTGCACTCATCAATTATTTACCTTTATCTCTTACAAAGGAACAAAAATCCATAAATTGAAAAAAAAAAAATAATGATAATTAATAGTAATTTTCTTTTTGTGAAATTTTTATTAGTAATTAATTAAAAGGTGTAAGAAAAAGAACGATGCTAATGGAGCGCCAATTGCGGTACGTACGGTGCGTGGTCACCTTTGTCGGGAAAGTGAAACAAAAACAAATTCCCAGATCTTCTATTTCAGATGACGTGTAATTCTTTCATTGGGCGGTGACGCAACTTGCCCGACCCCAGAGATTTGGATATTACAGGGTGCCTCTCTGACACGTAGGATGTCGGCCCCACTCATCAAGCTTGGGTAAAGTGGGTCCCACCCAGAAACCCAAAAAAAATTAGGCTGATTGTTTTTCAAACGAAAATGGACAGGAGCTAAAGGCCTTCGACGTCTGACGTGGCAGCATGCACCGACAAAATTATTGATAACCTAATCCTTCGGATTTGGGTAAGAATCAAGGATATACAGCATGGAATAGTCAGTCATTTCTAGATTAATTAATTAAATTTGGCTGATTAAAGAAGATGGGACAATTTTATAGTGGAGTACAAAAAAAAAAAAAAAAAAAAAACTCTGCTGGTAGAGCATAGTTTTCACATTTTACAGGTGTCAATCTTTACTTATTTTTATTGGATTTCAATTACAATAATTTTAAAATTTAAAGTGCATTTTATCAAAATCAAAAAGAAAATCTATAAAAAAAAATGAATAGTCAAGTGTATCAATGTAATTTACTCTATTACAAAATTATTAAATATATATATATATTGTGATTAATATTTCTCAAGGGAACTAAATGGGTCAAAATCCATTGGTTATGTCATCGGTGGTTTTTGAGTCACCAGTGGTTTTGTGGGACACAGATTTTATCTGGTTTCATTGGGTATATTCACGTGGTTGGGTGCATAGATTTATGGTTTTAGGTACAGCACATTTGGACCTTTGAGGAGTCTTGTATAACTTTGAAAATTACTATCTACGTGACGTAATTGTTGTACCTTAGCCTCCGTCATCGCAAATTTATAAATGCATGTGAGTTGTTTCAGAAAAATAAAATATTATATTACGCTGCCCGGGTCAGTTAGGTACGTAATATTGTTGGTATGTGCATGGAACACTCTGATTTTACTCTCAATTCATTTTATTAATTTGAGTTTAAAATTTAAATTTTATTATAGTAAAAAAATTTAAAAAATAATTATATTTAACTTTTTTATTACAGTAAAAAACTCTTATATAAAATCATATCTCAACTCGAATCAACGAATTAAACATTCTCTATAACTCTAACTCATAAGTTATAAAGAGATATTGTTGCAGTGTTTTTCTCATAAAATTTTAAATTTTATCTTTTTATTATAATATTTTTCTTTTATATATAATTAAAATTCTTAATTTAAGTTGTGAAACAATTATTACGTTTTGTTAGAGGATTCAAACCATGTGATTCGAACCATTTTTGATTTACGTGAATTTTTTGTGAGAGAAAATACTGTAGCGAACTATGAATCATGATTCAAATCAGGTAATAAATCCCTCTACCAAACATTTAATTAATATAATATTAAATATTACACTTAAATAAATTAAATATTACATATTTTTACGAATAATGTTATATATGAAAAAGATTACATTTATCGGTGTGAGACTGAGACTCTCTCTATATATTAGCATATATATATATATATATATATATATGCATAAGCATAATCTAGCATGTGGATAGGATCATAGGATTGTATACCCTGCAAAGGGTTTATAATTGAATTGAACAAGTTTGAATGGAATTATATATAGTTGGTAGCGTATTATTTTTAATGCACTAATCAACTAAAGATGTCTTGGCTGCATGTAGAATGTGGATAGGATCATCGGATTGTAGCTTATACTTCAGCAAGAGGATCATAGTTTATAATTGAATAAAACAAAGCTTTCTCAAACTATCACAAGGCTTCCTCGTTAATTCATATATTCTAATGAAATTGTGTGTGTGAGCACACTTGAGAACACAATAAACGTTATCACTCATCTCACAAGTCTTCTACAAACATCAGCACATGTACGATGTGGAACTGAGAATAGAAGAACTTTTCTTCTCTTTTCCTCTCAATGTTACACGCTCACTGCTGCAAGGTTACATGCTAACCAACTGCATATTACATGCCTACAATAGCCAAGTTACACACCAGGCACAAAGAATGGAGCGAAAAAGTTACACGTTGGTCACTAGCATGTTACACGCTATCTGATAAAATGTTATATGCCCATAATTGATATGTTACACTCCTATTACATAGGAGAAGGAGAAAATTGTGTTCTCCAATTTTCTATTGTCTCTTATTTATAGAATACTATGAGGACCCATTTGCTTTAACTTGAAGGCAAAGCAATAGACAATTGGTTATTTCTTTATTTTAAATCTCATTTAAAATATAATTTCCCATTTAATTTAGAAGTAAAAAACTCTCCCCTCCCTTATCTATTATGGCCGCCCACACCACAGGGATTTCTCCCTATGGTTGGCACAAAATACATGTAGGAGAAGGAGAAAAGATTCCTCCTTTATCAGTTTCTAATTTTGAGTCAAATTCAAATTTTAATTAAAGTCAAACTTTCCTTAAATTTAAATTTCAATTGGACAACTTATCAAATAAGTAAAATGATAACTTTGAGAGTAAGCAAGCGAATCCCAATGGGATTCTTCTTGTGTTCTGAGTGATATAATTTAGAATTTTACAATTCTAAATTTACTATTTTACCCTTAGTGTCTCGTAGAATTAACAAGACGACGCGGGAATTCATGGACCCATAATATCAAGCTCCAATAAAATTAATAAATTAATTAAACTCTTTAATTAATTAATCTTATTAATTCTAAAAGTTATTCCACTATAAACTTGGAATTGCACTCTTGATATTATAGACAATTAATTACATTTGTGAAACGTCCATTTAATATAGTCACTTCATATAGATCAATTTTCCATAAATAATTCATCATTAGAGATATGTGAAATCCGTTAACCTTTCTAATTACATATTTATCCTTGAGTATCATTGATTCTCTAATGGATAGTGATTCGTAAAACACATTTATAAATCAGAGCTTCTACTAATCCAAGTACCGAATCAATCCTCAAGAGAATTATTTATCTGCTTCTTTCTCAAAAAGTTATGGATTTCATCTCGTAATATTAGCATTCCCGGCTACCTATTTCTCCATGTCTCCAAGATATAAGGATAAGATCTAAGTGTGTCGAGATCTTTACCGAGTAAGTCAAAAGACACGTATCCATAAATAAGAGTCTGTTAATAACTCATGATTAAAATCATTATATATATTACCATCGGTAGACTCAATTAGAATTTCTATACTTAACGAAAATTATTAGAAATTCATATTGTGTATGTGTCTCAGTCCTATATAATCTCATTATGTAAAATACACTCATTCGATATCTCTTCATATCAACTGTGCGGATAAGCTCGTTCCATTTTTAATGAGAATGTCATGTATTAATAATGTCTTAATTAAAGATTCTAAACTTTAATTAAATTCATTACAGACTTATTTCAATTATTATCCTTAAATATTATCTTTTAGTATATAACACTTATATACCATATTTAAGATTACATAAATAATCATGAAATTTTTAATAATATGTATAAAGTATTCAATAATACATGCACATAAATAATGAAAATGTATACTTTATTAATTAAATAATAAAATCTTTAATTATATCTCATGCTTTCAGGACACCATTCCCAACAACCATCTCACATCTTCATCAACTTTCATGTGGGACAACACACATGCACTTTTCTCAACAATCTCCCCCTCATGTGTGTGTTCACCGATATCTCCCTGAACCAAAGTTTCAAGTAGCCGACACATCTAAGCATAACACTCGGGAGCCAACTCGAGCATGGGAAAGAGAGCTGAAACCACGCGAGTCCACCAAATACTCCACTATTCGCACCTGCAACTGCAATCGAGTGTGATCACTTGACCCAAACGAACTATCGGCTCTAATACCACTTGTTGGGGAGAAATCACATGTGAAATTGGCCCAACACACTTCAGGAGCCCAACTTA